ATTTTATTCATACTTTTGTCTGTAACAAGAATGATGGTTCTAGATCCATAGAGAGACTTTGTTATAGTATTTTTTGTGATTCCTGTTGTGATTTTTCTTCTACCATATGGAATACTGTACCTTTCGTAAGATACATATGTACATGCGCCTACAGAATTATGAACTTCCAGATTTCCATTTGTGAACCAGACCTGGTGACTTCAGTTGAGGAGAAATGTGCTATTACAGGGGTTGGTGTCTTTTGAGGATGTTGCTGTGGACTTCACATGGGAGGAGTGGCAGGACCTTGATGATGGTCAGAAGACTTTGTACAGGAATGTGATGCTGGAGACCTACAGCAACTTGGTGTCATTGGGTGAGTGAAACTCCTCAGTGTCAGGGCAGCACTTTCTTCTTGTATGGTAAATAAAGGGACCACTTATAAGATTTCATGCTATTTAGGTAGGATTTTATACCATAAAGAATGCATCATCTCTCTCCAAAGAAACATACAAATTGGCCCTGTCATTTCATAGCATCTTATAAGATGAGCTCTTGTCATCCTTTCAAGAACCTGACAGCAATTTTGCAAAGTCCCTGTTATTATCCATTAAAGGGCACTGCATTACCAAACCCAAACTGATCTTCATGTTGGAGCAAGAAGCAGAGCGATGAACAATAGACTCCCCAAACCAGGGTCTACAAGGTCAGTATGTACTGAGCACTGAGGCTGGAAAGAGTAAAGTCCAGCAGATGTTGGTAATGTTCAGCTGTTCTTACCAGTATATTTGCTAGATTTCAGACCTGAGAACTGCTGGCCTACTTAGAAACTCATGCATTATATAATCTCCAAAGAGGGCTCTCACACTTATACACCCACCTTTTATTTTAATGAGCATTTCATATACTTCCCCAAATCTAATCTCTACCTTTCTTGTTTTAGACCCTTTTATTTACTGTGAACTTTATCAGTATTCTTGGTGGCTCTCTTCTTCTCCATTATCATGTACTTCTTCTTCCAGAATGTTTTAGTCCATGTTTTTCCGCTTGTAACTGAATACCTGAAAATGGGTAATTTATAAGGAAACAAAATTTATTTTTTATAGTTCTGTAGGCAGACAAGTCCAAGGTTGAGGTGTCACATCTGGTGGGGGTCTTCTCGTTTGTGGAGACTCAGCAGAGTCCACAGTTGGTGCAGTGTATCACAAGGTGACAGTGGCAAAAGTGTGTCCACATGCTGTATAAAGCCACCAATCTACCCCCGATAACCCATTAACTCACTATTTCATGAACAGATCAATCCATTTGTAAAGGCATGGCCTTCAGTATCTAATAACCTTCCCAAAGTCTTAACAGTTCAAATACCATAGTTAGACTTTCCACACTCTTAACACTGTTAATATGATGATCAAGCTTCAATATGAGTTTGGGGGAACATTTAAATCATAGCACAAACATTTATTTATACACATTTTTTAAAATTACATCATAATTAAGTGGGTTTTAAGCACTTTGTTTTATATATAGTTGTACTTAAAACAGCAATAATCTAAATAATGTCTTTCATAGAGTTCACATTCTGATGAGAGAGAAACAAGATAATAATATACATTAAATATTTGTATTAGAATCATGAGGAATATGTAACCATAGTGAGAGAGACAGAAAAGTTGGTAGTGAGAATTTAGGAAGGATGTCCAGATTGGGCAGTTCTAGGAAGATTATTAAGTGTTTACTTTGGCATAGTGTAAGTTCAACTTAACTCTTTTCCAAATTTGACATATAATACATGCATGAGTATAAAATTGAGAGTTTAGAGAGGACATCACTAGTGGAGGCACAAATTTGGAAATTGGTGGCTTAAAGCTGATTTTTAAAGTCCTAATTATAGAGGAGGTTACCTAGGGAGTTGATAGGAAAATGAGAAAAGAGGTCCAGAAGTGAGCATTGTGTACCATGAATCAAAGTGTGAAACTGACAAGGATACAGCATAGGCACCTGGAAAGGAGCTACTGGACTGGGAAGGAGAATCAGGAGATTGTGGGTCCCAATGTCAAATGAACCAAGAGTTTTATGGTGAGTGGCTCAGTTTTTTTGTGGAGTAGTGGAATTTGAAGTTAGCATATTCCCCTTCTCTTTGTGAATATTATTCTAAAACAACAAAGAGAATGAGGAATGTACACAAGACTATATTTTATGAAAATAGGACACAGCTGAAACTTCATTGCAAAAAATAAAAGCCTTCAGAAGCAGCAAATTATAAAGCAGAGGTGTGTGCACCAGAAAATGGGGGTAGAATGCCAGTTGAACTCAGAAGGAGCTAAATAGAAATTGAAATATTGTGGGTATGGCCTGGGTTGAAAACCAAATGTCTTAAAATCTGCAGAAAAGGGGTGCACAGTGTGGTAAAATGGAGCTTTTTGAGAAACAGAGACAATGATGTTAAATGAGAAATTTGTAGTAAGATGTCTTTATTTACTGTGTGGGAAAGGAGATTTTTTTATCTGAAAAATTCCCAGATGTCTATAGCCTTTATGTAGGGAAGAATGAAAACTAAACAAACATTAGGGGCAAAATTCTGAACCTAAGCCCAATTTCTGTTTAAAGGAAAGAAAATTGGCTTCCTGCTGAATCTGAAAGTACCTGATCCAATGAAATATTACCACAGTCAAATCAAGATAAGAAGGGAAAAGGGCACTATGTGATACCCACTGTTGTTATAAGAATAAAATAGAGAAATAAAATAGGGTAAACAAATGTCAGATGATAAGCACTTGGTTGAAAATTATGACTAGGCAGTAAGTGAAAGTTTTACAAAATATTTTCTTGTGAATGAAAAATAAAAATGATTGAACATTAGAAAATATATTAATACAATTTATTACATTATGGTAGTATGTAGGAAACATGTATTCTTATCAATCCAATTTCTATGATTCATTTTTTTACAATCGTATGCCATGAGAATATGAAAAAACTACTTTTACATGCTCATTTAAGCAGTACTTATGTGTGGCTTGTGGATATGGTTATCTTTTCTTATTTTAGATGTTCAGATAGTCGAAGCTCTAATTGCAAAAAGCAAAGAACATCATGATACACATTTGCAGCAAGTTGTGATTACCAACTGCAATACATCAACTGAGGAGAGAGTTAAAATAGAAAAAGCATTTCATTTGAGCTCAAACCATATGTCAGATTCAATTATAAATAGTGAAAAGTATTCAGGAATGAGGTGTGAAGAGTTCAATGTATGTCAGAATGTAATTTCACCTAGAGAGCCTGATTGGATGCATGCTGGAGATAAATCTGATGAGGGTAATATAACTGGGAAGTTGTGGAGACATTGTGAGCATCTTAATCAGAATTCCAAGATTCAAGCTCAGCAGCAGGCTTTTGATTATAGTGGACAATGGAAATCCTTAACACAGAGTCAGTATTATTGGAACAGAAGAAAGTGTATGTGGGTGAGATGTCTCGTAAATTTGATTATGGGAAAGTCTTTCATAAGTCAGCTGTTTTTGCCCAAGAGGTAATTCCAGTATCAGAGAAAGCTTTTCCATTTGACATATGTTGGAGAAAGTTCTATGAAAATTATGAACTCACTGAACATCAGAAAATACAGAAGAGAAACCCTATAAACGTAGTGAATGTGATAGATCATTCATGAAGAAATTACCCCTTACAATCTGTAAGAGAACACATAGAGGGGAGAAGCTATATGTGTGTAATGAATGTGGGAAAGCCTTTTACAAAACCTCAAACCTCAGCAAGCATCAGAGAATACACACAGATGAGAAACCATGTGAATGTAAAGCATGTGGAAAAACTTTCTACTGTAAATCATGCCTCAGTGTACCTCAGAGAACTCACACAGGTGTGAGACCATACGAATGTAGTGAATGTGGAAAAACCTTTCATGAGAAGTCAAACCTCCGCAAGCATAAGAGAGTTCACACAGGTGACAAACCATATGAATGTAAAAAATGTAAGAAAGCTTTCAACCGTAAGTCACACCTCAGGATACATCACAGATCTCACACAGGTGAGAAACCATATGAATGTAAAGAATGTAGAAAAACTTTCTACTGTAAATCACATCTCAGTGTACATCAGAGAACTCAGACAGGTGAGAAACCATATGAATGTAAAGAATGTAGAAAAACTTTCTACTCTAAATCAAACCTCAGTGTACATCAGAGAACTCACACAAATGAGAAACCATATGAATGTAGTAAATGTGGAAAAACCTTTCACAGGAAGTCAAACCTCAGCAGGCATCAGAGAATTCATACAGGTGAGAAACCATATGAATGTAAAGAATGTAGAAAAACTTACTCCAGTAAATCATGCCTCAATGTACATCAGGGCACTCACGCAGGTGAGAAACCATATGAATGCAGTCTGTGTGGGAAAACCTTTCACAGGAAGTCATATCTTACCAGACATCAGAGAATTCACACAGGTGAGAAACCATATGAATGTAAAGAATGTAGAAAAACTTTCTACTGTAAATCACATCTCAGTGTACATCAGAGAACTCAGACAGGTAAGAAACCATATGAATGTAAAGAATGTAGAAAAACTTTCTACTCTAAATCAAACCTCAGTGTACATCAGAGAACTCACACAAATGAGAAACCATATGAATGTAGTAAATGTGGAAAAACCTTTCACAGGAAGTCAAACCTCAGCAGGCATCAGAGAATTCATACAGGTGAGAAACCATATGAATGTAAAGAATGTAGAAAAACTTACTCCAGTAAATCATGCCTCAATGTACATCAGGGCACTCACGCAGGTGAGAAACCATATGAATGTAGTCTGTGTGGGAAAACCTTTCACAGGAAGTCATACCTTACCAGACATCAGAGAATTCACACAGGTGAGAAACCATATGAATGAATGTTCAAAAATTTTATAAAGTAAATCAGACTTCAATGTACATCACAGTATTCACACAGGTCAGACACCATATGAATATAAAGAATGTACAAAATTTTTCTACCATAACTTGGACCTCAATAAACATAAGAAAAATCACACATAAAAAAGGCCCTATGAATATAATGAGTGTGAAAAAACCTTCACACGTAAGTGAAACTTTAGCATGCATCAGAGATTCACACAGAGGAGAAGCCCTATGTGTGTAATTAATGTGGAAAAACTTTTCACCAGAAGTCAAACCTCAGCAAGCATCAGATAATTTACACATGTGAGAATCCAGATGAATATAAAGAATATAGGAAAACTTTCTACAGTAAAGCAGACCTCAGTGTATATCATAGAACTCACACAGTTGTGAAACCGTATGACTGTACTGAATGTAGGAAATCTTTCTAACAGAAATCAAAACTTACTAGTCATGGCATGCTTCAGGATGCATCAGAGAACTCATGTAAAAGAGAAAACCTATGAGTGTACAGCTGTCCATTCATATCCACAGGGGATTGCTTTCCATAGATACCAAATCTGTGGATGCTCAAGTCTCATATGAAATGGTCAGCTATTGTGTAACACTCTGCTGCACAATTTAACATCATGTCTAGATTACTTATATTACTGAATACATTAAAAACTATATAAGTAGTTTTTTTTTTCTTTTTTTCTTTTTTTTGGTATAATTTGTATTGCCATACTTTTTTTTTCAAATATTTTTGATCTATAGTTGGTTGAATCCATGGATGTGGATCTTGTGGATATGGAAGGCTGATTGTAATGAATGTAGAACATCTTTTGTCAGAAGTCACACCTAAGCAGACATCAGAGAACTCACATAAGGGAGAAATCCTGCATGGCAGAGACTAGCTATTTTTTTCCAGAGAAAAAACATACACACACACACACAAAACACTATCTTTTGTACAGACAGCATGCATACTCAGCCCCTTGTTATTGTGTGCATGATCGTGTAACTGAGCTCTTTTTTGTGGGATATGGACATAAGGGATTGAATGTTACTTTCTGGCCTGGCCACAACAACAAAAAATGTCTGTTCACTTCTTCCTGATTTCTTAAGCCTTCTAGGATTGAAGTGCAGACGACTTCAAAGATGGACTTTAGAGCCATAGTTGGGAGAAGAGCACCATAACTTAAGACAGAGGAATTGATTAGAACAGAGATGATCTCACTTTTATTTTGAAACCCTCATTTGTACTTTATGTGAGTGAGAAGTACTTAATATGTTGAACCATTGTGTGTGTGTTCTGTTTGCATTACAGCAAATCCAGCCCATCGTAGCTAAATAACTTTATGATGTTTCTGAGATAATTTACCTGTTCTTCTATATGAGAAGATTCACACAGGAGAGAAACCTGTGCAGTCACCTTTATCCCAAAGTTCGTTTATGGAAAAATCAAAGAAATCATGGGGAGAAACACTGAAACAATTAGGAAACCTTGTCAGGGAGACATATTATTTTATACTGAGAATAAAGCAAATTTCTATAAATATCTTTAATGTATCAATACTTTAAACAAAATTTCAAGTTTCTTTTGTAGCACAGAACTTGAAGCTAAAAATGTACTATGTATGTAAATTTTCAAATGGAAAGTTTATAGTATCAAAACTATTTTTTAAAAATTATTTGACTTTATTCCAATAGCTATGTATGAGGTAATATTGACTGCCAGGAGGCATTTGCCTATATCTGGAGATATTTTTGATTGTCATAAGTGGAGGTGTTGTTGCATCTAGTGGGTAAATGCCAGGGATGCTGCTAAACAGCATACAGAATAGCCTCAAGTATGTAGTGTTTATACATATAAGTATTCTATGTTAACAGGAATTTTCTTTAGTGGAATCCTGCATAAATACAGGTAGTGAATATATACACTTAGTATAATAAATATAGTGACTTATGTTTGGATTTCTTATATTAAATACCACTCTAGCCTTTTTATAGCTTGTTAAATATCAAAGATCTTTTTTCAGTTGACTGTAGATGTGTGGCTACATGAAGATACTTAATAGTTTGTGGAAAAAATAGTATTAAAACATAATGCACATTCTTAAGTTATTTGATATACCATTGTATTTATGGGCTTATTTATGATAAAACCCAGTGCAATCTAGGAATATAATGAAAATGAAACTTCTTAGACCTGTTAAAGGGCATCTATAGAAAACCTACACCTAACATCAAATACAGTATTGAAAGACTAGTCACTTTAACCTCAAAGTTTGAAAAACGAGACTAGAATGTTCAATTTTACCACTTTGTTTAACTTTGAACTGGAGAAATAAGCCAAAAACATTACACACAATAAATAAAATTATCCATTTTGGAATAGAAAAAGTAGAACCATCTTTAATTTCAGATGACATAAAGTTATATATAAAACTTTGTAAGAGATTTACTAACATACACTAGTATCCATAAATAAATCAAGGTCAACATGCAAAAATCATCTATACTCTTTCATATTAGCAATAAGTAATCTAAAAATTAAATTTAGAGAGCAAGACGGCGACGGGTCTGGAGCGGGTGTGCCAGAGGACAGAGCGAGCCTGAGAAGTGTGTGCTGTG